GAGCATTCTCCAAATGTTATTTATAATACGTGTAATAATAAAAATGCAAAGATCTTCTGATTTCAATATATATGGCTAAAAGTACGTATGTCTTTTATTCTCTCTAAATGAAGAATTTCTTTAAAAGCAAAAGTTTGGTTACCCACCATTTATTTGTTTTTTTTTAGATGTTTGATCGTTAATCTAACAGAACTTTACGCATGTAATCACAATATGCGTAGAAATCACAAATCACCTTGGATTAATTAATTTCTGATATAGTTCTGTAGTTCATGAGCTTTAAATAAGCAACCTAACCTTTTATGTAAATTTTAATGTGATGGGTGAATTGATCGACGCGATTGTAATATTTCAAACGATAACGATAATAAAAGCTTTATATAAAATAATTAATTTAAGTTTAAATTATTTTTAATTCACTATTTTGTATACCAAGTTGTTTTTAAATCGAATCCAATTTTGGATTAAACTTTAATCTCTTAACGTATAATTCTATATAAATATCAAATTTTCTTTAAACACCGCACTCCCTCTTAAGCATAACTTTTGTTATAGTGCCTACGAGTTTTAGTTTTATAAACGTTACATATTAATTTTAACGTTTCATTGACGTTTAATTGACGTTTGATTTTTTGACGAAAAATTTGGTGATAATTAGTCACCATATGTCATCTAATTGTTACTATAAAAAGAAATTTTGTAATTCCTAATTATGGAAAACTTTGTACGTACCCAATAAAAGAAATATTGCAGAAAAAAATGTGATAAAAGATAATTTCGGATTTCAATAAGGCTATGTCACCTAAAAATAGAATTAATCTAAACTATAACGAGTAATACCAATTAAATTCTTGCCAAGCCTTGGCAAATCATTTAGAGGTAATAAAAACGTTTTAAGGTAATGTTTCGCTATAATTATGTTCTAAACGATATTGTTTGGTAATTAGAGGGTTGGAAAATCATTAAAATGTGTAACGACTTTACTATACGAATAGTCTTTGTTATCATTGTTTTTATTTATTTTATTTTATTTTATTTTATTTTTTTTTTTTCTCTTTTTTACAAAGCAAAATGTAACTCTCCAATAACGCGAGTATATGCATGTATGCGTATAATTAACGTACCTACCGATTTAGAAACATACCACCTAACTTATAATCAATCTTCATCTCTGATATAAAAGAAAGGATTAGAAATGACCCATTGCTGTGAATGTCAATTTTATTTAGGAATTAATAAGCTAAATAACGACAACATTTCTACGATAATGTTTCCATTTAGGCTATAGACATATTGTAAGACAGAAAATTCCGTGAAATATTAATATAAACGTTTTCAACCTAACCGACCTATATACATTCGTACATACGTACGTACGTGTATAAGGATTCGAAAGCCGCAGAGTTGCAATTGTTTTTATATATTGAATCATTCTTGTGTATTTAGTGTAATAAAAATTTATTAACTGATTGATTGTGTCGCAAACAATATTATTATATGAAATACGACTATAATAGTTTAATATTTGCCGTAATGATCAATTAATTAACTTGTAAAACATAAAATCTTTTTTTTTTTTTATACAATAAACATGTATATTCGTGACTATCAAAAAGATTCTTATTATAAACTTGAAGTGTGACAATTAAAATAGTTAAAAGACAGTTTGACGGACGATCAGAGTTAATACGTTTTAGTGATCTACAAAAAAAAAATTGATATTGGTCTATAATCTATAATCTATATAGTACTTTAAAAAAAAAAAAAAAAAAAAAAAATATATATATATATATATAAGTATTCACTTTTTCCTTTTTATTGTTTTTTTAAAAAAAAAAAAATAAGATTGCTAAAAGTCGTCGTCGTATTTAAAATATTTTTTAAATAAAAAAAATAAAACTTTTTTTTTCAGTTTGGCCAATATACATATTTAAAATGGGGCATACGCAATCTTCTGAAGGCGTAGACCCATCTCTGGATAAATCATCTGAACTTAATACAGTTCAAGATAATAATAATAATAATAATCAATCTAATAAAAATCTATTAATAAGTAATAACTCCCAAACTTTTACCTCTAAATCCAGAAAAAATTTTTTGGCCACACAATCAAATTTCGGTTCAACGGAACCTTCGTTATCGTCTGTACCGAACAATAACTTTCCCACGACGGAAGGAAATTATACCATAGAGTCCAAACGACAAACTTTCAATTCAGTACAATCATCTACAGATGATGAATTGTCTCATTATTCTTTAAATTCAAAGGGAAAGTCAACCAATTTCACTCCTAACTCTCCTGACACTCCTGACCAACCTTTTCTTTGTCGAACTCCATCTACTTATACCTCTGTTACTTCTTTGAATGATGACTGTGATTCTTCGGAATCAAGTTATCGTATTCACTCAAGATCTCAATCATCGGATATTTACACTGATAACATTAATAATAGAAGATTTCATCGGTCATATTCATTACCAAGTAATTCAAAAAGGCCTCATCGTCAATCTTCTTATCTCTCTCATTGCTCTTTATATTCTGAAAGTCGTGACGAACCACTAAGATGGAAAAAAGCTCGTAAACGACAATCAATTTTAATAATACAACAACAACAACAACAAATTCTTTCTTCTCTTGTTGCTGAACCGAATAATACACCATATTCTTATAAAGAAGCTATGGATATAATATGTGGTGAAAAAAATTATCTATCAAATTATCAAGAATCTGACGATGACTTTTGCGACTCTACACCAAGTACTTCAGTTACTGCTTTAAGCAGTGTCAATGATGATATTACTGAAGAACTTTTATTATTAGATCCAAAAATTCTTTTTGGTTCTGAAGCTTTTTATTCTTTACCAGAAACTCATGTGTTATACCTAATTAAATGTGATGATGTTGGTGAACATACTGAAGTTGAAATTTGGAGATGTCTTGTTGAATGGGGTAAAAGAAATACTCCAAAAATTATTTTTAATAATGATATTAATAAATGGTCTAAAAAAGATTTTGAATCACTTGCAAGAACATTACGTAATTGTATTTATTGGATAAGATTTTTACAAATGACTCCAATTGAATTTCAAACTTTTGTCATACCATATCAATATATCATTCCTAAATTTATTATTGGAAACTTTTTACGTCAAAAAATAACTGATCATCCACAAACTTCATTAGCATTGGCACCTGCAAGGATTCCAATGACTCCAATTGATTCAACTATTATTACGGGTCGACACGCTACAATTTTGAGTAACTGGATCAAGAATGAATCCCACGAACCTATAATAAAACAATCCTCTTATAGGTTCAACCTTCTTTATCGAGCAAGTCAAGATGGTGAAACATCAAGAGATTTTCATTTACATTGTGATAATCAAGGTCCAACAATTCTTGTAATAAAACTTTCAGGTCTTAATATGTTCATTGGTGGTTATAACGCAATGAATTATAAAGATTCAAGACGTTCATCTACCCTTTCATTATCGAAAAGAAATTCAATTAATAAAAAAAAGGAAGAATCAGCCCAAGGAAATTGTTTCATATTTTCTTTTAAAGACACTTATTATCCAGAACAAACCGCAATTATAAGTAGAATAATTCCTGAATTTAAAAAAGATGCTATAAAAGTAAAAAATAAATGGGGAGGTCCAAGTTTTGGACGGAGTGACCTTTGGGTTTGTCCTGATAAGAATAATAAATCTTTATACATTCGTCCGGCATCCTATGAATTTCCAATAATAGATTCTGAGGATATTAATTTTAAATGGGTAGATTTTGAAGTATTCCAAGTTTTGGGTCAATGAACATTTATTATTTGTCTTTGCATGACATTTTTTTTTAAAAAAATCACTCACTATTACCACATTAATTAAAGTAGATTACATCATTATAGAAATCAAAATTTTCTTTGTTTTTTAATGGATTAATTCTTTTTAATTTTTAATATACCTTGAATTATCGTCAACTTGTTTTCTTGTACATATTAAGGTTTATTATCTTTCCAAACACTACACCGTTAGTTGAAAGGGACATTTGTTTTTTTTTCTTTTTTTATCATTTTTATTTGTCATTTACCAAGGATTTACCGAGGTGTTTATTTTTCTTTTCCCCTTTTTTTTTTGATTCAATGAATAAATAAAAAAAAATAAAATAAAATAAAAAATAAAACAAAAAAAAAAAATTATTAATTCTCACGGATAAACTTTTAAGAAATTTGTTTCCAATGAATGAGTGAATAAGTGAATACATTTTATATAATTATTACTGAACTTCCATAAATATCATTGTTTTGAAATATACAAAAACAAAAAAATTTATTTAGAATTAGATGAAACATTCAAAGAGAATAGATTAAAATAGGAATATAGTTTTTTCCCAAGCAATACATTACCCCATTGAGAATTATTTACTACAATTCAAGAAAACGCCAAGTAAAAAATAATCTGATATTTATAATGAATTTCTTCTTTTGACCTATCTTATCATATTCGAATCTTTCCTTTTTATTATCAAATTTATTTTTACGAGTTTAATATTGATATTCAATATATTTTTACATTTAATATTCATTTTGCATTAATCACACGAAAAGATTTTAAATTTAAAATTATATATATAGTATATATATATATATATATATATAACATATGATATATACTGCATATGCATGTGACGTATGAATGCTATATCGTATAATTTATATTACATCATTTATATAATTCAATTCAATTGAAAATTTCACACATAATGAAATAATAGACACATTAAGCATATCTGATTTTGATATGTAGCGGTAGGGTCCAAGTAGAGTTCCAATCCGGATAAATTTTATCCATATCTAATTATCCGGATAATTCAGAAAGTTCGGATATCTGGGTAATCCGACAAGTATATGGATAATTATGGATAGTAAATGGATATCTGAATAATAATAAATTTGGATCCGGATATCTGATAGTTATCCGGATAAATGCTCAAAGTACGTACAACTGATTTTTTAGGTTTGATGGATTGTTTAGTTATTTACAGTAGTTACCTTATTAATTGTACTACAATTTATTGTATACATAAAGAATGTCTTTTTATGTTCAATATGATTAAGCGATAACCTGGTAAAAACGATTAAATCAAAACCTTTATCCTAGAACGTACGTACGTATGTACCTTTTTTGCTACATTTAACTGTTAAAGTATTTTTACGTATTGTAAGTACTGTACGTAACTGGTGAGGTACAAATATAGTCACATGCTAGCTCTAGTCATATAATTCTGCGTATAGATTGTTACATTATCTGATACATATATTAATCATACAGATTTGTTTATTAATTATTAATTATTATTATTAAGTCGCGTGTATTAATAATGACATCTTAAATACGTCAAAATAATATTCATTTTT